TCTTCCGACATTTATTTTCTCGAGAAAATTGAATTGTGGAAGTTCAAAAGACCATTGATCCTAGGTCAGACCTTTCAGAGTTGAACAAAGATGGACAGGCATGTGCAGAATGATTGCTTACAGTCTCGCCAACAGCTTTTATGTAGGCAAAATGCATTGAAATATGTGTATAAAATATTTAACATTAATACACGCCAGACGGAAACCCTGTCAAATTCTGTGTGCACACAGGAACTTGACGAGAGGAGTCGGGAGATTTAGAGAGATCCTCAGAGCAGTGGAAACGAGAACAACCCAGAGCCTGCGAATGGTAAGTGTAACTAATGGCTTGGCTGAGGCCTGAGGCACTTCAGGTGCCTCTCTCTCTTTCATACGTGTATTATAAATAATATATCATATATCATAACATACTGTGCAATATAGACATTATACATTATAAATCATATCTCCGTGAAGCACATATATATACATATATATATACATATATATATATATATATATACACACATCATACATTCACCCAAAGTCATTAGATTTTAGTAGTCACAGAATTGTTCAGCCATCACTAATATTTAATTTCAGAACATTCTCATCACTCCCCAAAAATCTCCATGCCCATTACTAGTCAATCCCCATTCTTCCCTTTCCCCAGCTTCTGGCAGCCACTAATTTACTTCCTGTTTCTATGGTTTGCCTATTCTGGACATTTCATATAAATGGAATTATACAGTATGTGGTCTTTTTTGTGACTGGCTTCCTTTACTTAGCATAATGTTTTCAAGGTTCATTCACGTTATACCATGTATCCGTCTTTCATTCCTTTTCGTTGCATCATGATATTCCATCGTATGAATAGACCACATTTTTGTTTATTGTCCTCAGTCAATAGACATTTATTGTTTCCACTTTTCAGCTATTATGAATAATGCTGCTACAAACATTCTCATGCAAGTTTTTATGTGTATGTATGTGTTCGCTTTTCTTGAGTATATACCTAGGAGTGGAATTGCTAGGTCATATGGTAACTCTACATTTAACATTTGGAGGAGTTGCCAAACTATTTGTCAAATCGGTTGCACCATTTTACATTCTCACCCAAAATTATGAGGGTTCCAGTTTTTCTACGTCCTCAACAACTTATTATCTTTTTCTTTAGTTCTAGCCATCCTAGTGGGTGTGAAGTGCTGTCTCATTGTGGTTTTTTTTTTTTCAATTTTTTTTTTTTTTTTTTTTTGCAGTATGCGGGCCTCTCACCGCTGTGGCCTCTCCCGTTGCGGAGCACAGGCTCCGGACGCGCAGGCTCAGCGGCCATGGCTCACGGGCCCAGCCGCTCCGCGGCACATGGGATCCTCCCAGACCGGGGCACCAACCCGTGTCCCCTGCATCGGCAGGCGGACTCTCAACCACTGCGCCACCAGGGAAGCCCTCATTGTGGTTTTGATTTACACTCCCTGATGGCTAATGATGTTGAGCATCTTTTCAGTTGCTTCTCGGTAATGCTCTCTCTTGAAACATAAAAAATGCATCCTGTATAGCAGTTAGAAGGTATATACCCTCCTGATGCCAATGTAGTGAAGGGTTAGTTGTAGGCTGATGATTCATACCAAAACCCAGACAGAGCAAAGCAGATTAGATCCTGAGGAGAACCTAGCTGTTGGACTAACTATATTGACCATAAAACCCAGAAATAGAAAAGCTAGTTAAATAAACTGGTTGATCAGCAGTTTGGCTCTCCTGTTGACTTGAGTTCTCTCTCTTTCCTTTTAAACCTTTGACCTTCCTGTCTGGGAGGCTCATTAATTATACCTCCACAGTTTACCCTTCAGAGCCAGAGTCATCGAGTGTTTGGGTGAGGCCTGGTGCTCATGGAAGCTAAGAAGTGCCCCAGGCCCCAGCCAATGTGGCAGCCCCACTAAGACCGCAGTGTCCTTGGTCTCGTCCTCCATGCTGTTGTGCTCCCATTATCATGAGTCCTTTAAATGCTGTGGGAGAGTGTTCAGTTGGGCAAGGCTAAGAGATTCCTGTCCTGGGAAATGAGGCTGTATCTTCATGCTAAGAATGTGGACATACAACTCACTGGCCCATATGGCTAAGCCATAGGTTTTCCTAGAATTATGGGAGGAAAGAGAAGATGGGCGACTTCACACACACACCGCACCAAGAACTCACCGGGTCTTCGATATCTACTTATGTATTATATGATTTATGGGTGCCCTCAGAAGTTCAAACAAAACATTTTTATCTTCACAGTTCTTTAAGGGAAAAAACCCTGCAAAAATATGGATAGGCCTTCCCTGGTGGCGCAGTGGTTGAGAGTCCGCCTGCCGATGCAGGGGACGCAGGTTTGTGCCCCGGTCTGGGAAGATCCCATGTGCCGCGGAGCGGCTGGGCCCGTGAGCCATGGTCGCTGAGCCTGTGTGTCCAGAGCCTGTGCTCCGCAACGGGAGAGGCCGCAACAGTGAGAGGCCCGCGTACCCCAAGAAAAAAAAAAAAAAAAGGATAAAAATGGTTGCCATCTATCTTTTCTCTCAAATGACCTACTCCCAACCTTCCATAAAACTTCTGAACTGGTCAGCACGAACAGCTTCTTCTAAGATTTAGAAGCACAATGAAAGTAACTGGTTATATTGGCAAATGTTCTTATAATTGTTTTAAAAGCACATTTAAAATGCCAATCTTTTGGGCTTCCCTGGTGACTCGGGGGTTAAGAATCTGCCTGCCGATGCAGGAACACGGGTTCAAGCCCTGGTCTGGGAAGATCCCACATGCCGCAGAGCAACTAAGCCTGTGCACCACACTACCAAGCCTGCACTCCAGAGCCCGCGAGCCACAACTACTGAAGCCCGTGTGCCTAGAGCCTGTGCACTGCAACAAGAGAAGCCACCGCAATGAGAAGCCCACGCACCGGAACAAAGAGTAGCCCCCACGCGCTACAACTAGAGAAAGCCTGTGCGCAGCAACGAAGGCCCAACGGAGCCAAAAATAAATAAGTTAAACAAACAAATAAATAAATAATAAAAATAAAAATAAATAAAATGCCAATCTTTCAAAATTGCTTGTAGACTCTCAAAAAATATACATTTTGTTAAGCAAATAAAGGGTTTTTCCTCATTAAAAGGTTGAGTGCATGCACTGCACTGTGAGAATCTGCCTGCTGCTTACTCCAATATTATTTTTCAAAATTAGAGAATATCTTCCATTATTGTCTAAGGTTCATGATTTTTAAATCAATGTGTTTTAACTTATAAAAGTCCTGTGAGGTAGGATTCTGACTAGAAATGTTAGGAAGGAAGACAGTTTTCTTCTTCTTTTTTTTTTTTTTTTTTTTTTTTTTTTTCTTTTTTCTGAGAAGCCCAGTGAAGGGGCTTCTAAAGAAAGCCTGTGTAGATAAAGCTGCCCCTGGGCACTTTCATCTGTTAACTGACTGGTTAGTGTTAATGTAAGGGGGGAGTCACTTCCCACTCAGTGTCACACTTGAGTTGCAAGTACACCTTTGGTCTTGGTTGATGGTTCTCAAGTGACCTAAGTTAAACTGTTTCTAATCCCTTGAGTGCTTAACGAAAGGTGTGCATCAGAACCATCTGAGGAACTTTGAGCAAATACATATCCCTGTACCTGACCTCAGAAATGCCAGCTGAGTCAGTCTGCGGCAGGGCCTGAAAATCCGTATTTTCTAGTTTCCGCAAGTGAGTCTTTGCCCACTCTAGTTGAGAAGCATTTCCTGGGAAGTCTACACTGGTGGCTTGGTTTCCGGTGGACATCAGGAAACTTCTCCAGCTATTGCCACTCATAAGACAGTGTTTCTATCAGCCTTAATTGCTGTATGATTCATTTTAGATTAGCTGATAATTACAAATTTATGATATCCTTATGAGATGAAAAAGTTGCTTTGTAAACTCTGGTGTGAGACCATAGCAGAGAAGGATTTAAAAGTACATTCACAGCGACCCCATTTCTAGATAAGTCCTCCAAATAATTGAAAGCAGGTGTTCAGATCAAAACTTGTATATGAATGTTCATAGCAGCATTACTGACAATAGCCAAAAGACGGAAACAATCCAAATGTCTACCAACTGGTGATTGAATAAACAAAATGTGGTATAGCCACACAATGGAATATCATTCAGCTATAAAAAGGAATGAACATTATGCTAAGTAAGAGAAGCCAGACACTAAAAGACCGCATATTATATGATTCCATTCATGTGAAATGTCCAGAAGAGGCAAACCTCTAGTGACAGAAAGCAGATTAGTTGTTCCCAGGGGGTGGAAGGAGGGAGAATGGAGAGTGACTTCTTAAAGGGTATGGGGTTTCCTTTTAGGGTAAAGGATGTTCTGGAACTAGAGTGGTCATGGTTGTACAACATGGTGAATGTGCTAAACGCTATTGGACTGTACACTTTAAAATGGTTAACATGGTGAGTTTTATGTTATGTGAATTTTATCACAATTTAAAATCACATACAAAAAAGTGCATTTAATGACCCAGTTTGTACAAAGAGTTCAAGTCTTCTTCCAGACCAGCTTCTCTCCTTTCCTTCCTTTAATTCTAAATGTATTTGGAATGTATTTGGTAGCTACCAACAATTTTTAGGCATTTAAACTGCAAGCTAAATATAACCGGAGTATAAAACATAAAAGGTATCATAGATATTGGTGATCTTGCTGATAATTTCTCATATTTAATCTCCTTTTCTGAACTTCATTTGAGATTTCAGTGAACTCAGCCAACGTCCTTCCTAATCGGTAATGCATGACAAGGTGATGCCTTTGAAATGTGCAATCACATAACCTCATTTTTAAAATCTCTCCGGAAGGTTAATACCTTGAGGGAAAATGAGATCTAGCGTGAGCTATCCAGCAGTGGACAAGCAAACTGTTTTGAGGGCAGAGACTTTTACAACCTTAGAATCCCTCCATGGCAGATACATCCAGAAAGTGAAGTTCTTTGTTCATTTTTCTCCTTTAACATTTTTTTCTCAGCTCTAGTGAGTGGAGGTTATTTTTGCTAGTTGATACTTCCAGCAGAAGTCATTAGCTTATATGACTGCAGTGAGATCAAAATGAGGCTGTAATGGAAGGTTTAAGAAAACAGTTCAGGAACTGTTTAGGTCCTAAAAATCGTGCTCTTATGAGATCTTTACAGATGGCTCAGTTGGGGATGATAAGAGTGCATTTAATTTCACATTTTTATAGACATTTAAAGCTAGTGGGTCTTACTTGGGAATAATGAAGAAAATTTGCCTTTACCCAGTGGCTATCAGAAACCACTAAGCTAGTGATTTGGCTGCATTTAGGATTCCTTGTGGTGTTTTAAGAGATTTCACATGGATGAAAGCCTAGCAAAGTTCTCTTCTGGAAAATATTTATTTAAAAAGGCTCGTTGTCAGGGAAGATCAGCGTTCTTTGTCTGCATCTTCCAAAGAATGCTAAAACCTCGTGGAAAAACCTGCTGGTTGAAGTTGTATTTGGCCACCTCTGGCTGATTGTGAGGTGGCCTGGACCACCCTGAGATGCAGTGCTTCTATTTTCGGAGGGATTTTTTTTTTTTTTTTTGACTTCTCTTCTTTGCCACTGGAAGGTTATGAGGTAAGTTAACTGATATGCATCAGTTAACAAAGTACTTCTTAGTAGCTGCCACATCTCCCTCCCCCATACGTCGTACGTGATGCTGTTCTAGGCAGTGGAGTTGTAGAGTTTGGAAAAACATAGTAATCTGCACCTAACTTAGAAGAACAAGATCTGGATATTTCTGGGTTTTCACAGTCAGAAAGTAGATCCCTACCCAGCTTTAAAAAAACGGTCTTCTGGATCAGTAGCCATAGTCACTTTGCCAGCTCTCCACTTTGCTCAAGGCCAGTGGGAGCCTTTGGGCTGAAGGGCCAGGATGCAGTAAGAACGGGGCCTCAGGTACTGAGTCGCAGGGTGGGGCTGTGAAGGACTTGCCCTTGGCGCTCCGAGAAGGAAGACATTCTAAAAATCTGCACTGAACATCATCTTATCATCAACGAAGAGATTTTTTTCAGGGATTACATCATCTAGGTTGAGTACTGGCTTTCTGCCAAGGTCGGGCTTTGGCAGGCCTCAGTTGGGAGGTGATGAAAATATTTGCAGTTCACCTATTATTTATAAGAGCTTTTGGAAAAGAGCTTAACTAAAAGTTTCAGTTGTTTCCGGTATAAAACATGTTTAGTGTTCCAGAGTATAAGAGAGGCAGGGCAGCATTTGAAGGGCATGAACTTATTTTTTTTTAATCTTTCAAATATCTTAGTGTATCATATTTTCTTTTCTTTTTTTGTCATCAACTGATATAATTTTCATCATAGGAGTAGAAATTTTTAATTTTGAGTCTTGGAACAGTGATGACAAAGTGATGACTAAAAAATATTTATTAAATGAGCGAATGAATGAATGAATGATACAAAATAGATTCATGGCTGTGCCTTTGCTCCTTTGTGTCCCCAGACAATAGCCAGGCAGCTGGCGGAGATCTTGTTGCGGGGTATGTGTGAGCAGAGCTACTGGAACCCTCTGGAGGATCCGCCATGCCAGTCACCTCTGGACGATCCTCTCCGGAAAGGAGCAAACACAAAAACCTACACCCTCACGCGGAAAGCCCGTGTCTACTCAGGAGAGAAGTATGGGAGTTGGTGTCCTCATTTGTAGGTTAGGGGATGGGAGGGAAACTTTAGGAAAATGTAAGGATTGAATAGAAGTTCAAGGGTAGATTTTTTTTACCAGTTTAATAAAGATAGCTCTTTACTCTTCATAACTTCAGCAAATATCCATGCATGAGTGGGGACATTTTGAGTAGGAAAATGCTCTCATCTAGTGCTTGGCTGCCATTCTCAGCCTTCACTGTTGGTCTTTGGGGTTTTCATTTCATTTATTATAAGAACCGCAGAACCATACAGCAGTCAGTGACAAAGCTATTAGTAAGCCAGAGTTGACTTTACTTTTCCTCAGCAATTCTTTGATCCTTTTGTTTAAAAACTTGTTTTAAACTCAACTAGCTGTAAGAAGGCGGCGAATTTAATAATTTACAGGTGATTGGAAGGTGATATCTCTTTAGAATGTTTTAATTGGTTTAAGTTTTGGATTTGGAACTTGATCACCTTTGAGGAAAATGGGCTAGGGAAACACTCTGGTCTCAGCCTGGGATTTCCCCAGGTCCGGGAAGGAGGAGGTGGGAGGGAGAGAGACCACAAGAAGGCGGGGAGATGGGAACAGGGGTTGACTCATTCTATTCCTCCCCTCAAAGCTTTCCTTCCCGCCTTTGTTCCTACAAGGACAAAGCATGATGGCTTTTCAGAACCTCTCCATGAAGCAAAGGGGAACGTGTAAGAATAAATACGGAAACCTTCTTTAATCATTACAAATTGGAAAAATGGCTGAAAGACCGCAGGCTGCTGCTTCTGAGGCCCCAGAAAGCACTGACAGACATGGGGTAATTAGATAGTTATTACGTGTGTGACTTCTGAACGCAGTGCTGCGTTTTACAAGGGGTAGCCTTTCTCAGGGTAACTGCCTCTTAATCCTCTTAAATTGACCCTGGCATTTGTCTCCCTCCTCATCTTGTTCAGTTTGCATTTCTTACATGGATTCAGGCTAGCGAGCATTTTCTTAACTTTTTCCTGTGTTTACTCCTTAGTACTTATCTGGATTCACAGAACATCTGTTCTAGCAATTCTCAAACTCTCACTTTTAAAATGCTGACCCCTCATTATGAACTATTTAGCAGCAGGATTGGGGTTCTTTTTTACGTGATATTTAAATCTTAAAAATAGACCCTAGATTTTTCTTCTGCTTCAGATGCTTCTTAATAGCCAAAGTGCCAGTATACTGAAGAATCTAGTTCTTGCTCCCTCCCCCGATCAAGTCTGACACATGGATGAAGCCCTGTGTCTCTCTGGGTGCGATTTCATTGTGTCCTCACCCCTTGAAGGCAGAGAAGCTCACAGTGCTGGCCACTTCTCCCTTATTTCCTAAACCACTCAGCCTCTGTCACTCTTAACATCAGCTTCCCCATCTGTACAAGGAGAATTATGGAGGCAAAATGCAGATCTAGTTAAATGAAGTTATTAGTTAAAGGGAAGATTCCCATGTGACGGGTTACTGAGACACAAGTTTCATTTCACACAAATACACACAGTCATTTTTTTAAACTTTCATTGAGATATAATTCACATACTATATAATTCATTCATTTAAAGTGTACAATTCACATTAATATAGCTTTTAATATAGTCACATAGCCCATCACTACAGTCAAATTTAGAATACTTTCACTACCCCCAAAATAAACCTAGCACCCCTTAGCTGTCACCCGCCATCCCCCAAACACTTGTATTTTCACATGAATTTTAGGATCATTTTGTCTATTTCTGCAAAAAAAAAAAGGCAACTGGAATTTTGTAGGAACTGCATTTAATCTGTAGCTCAATTGGAGGAGTATTGCCATCTTGACAATATTAAGTCTTCTGATCCATGAACATGGGATATCTTTCCATTTATTTAGGTTTTCTTTAACTTTTTTCAGCAACAATTTGTAGTTTTCAGGGTATAAGGTTTGCACTTTTTTTTTTTTTTTTACGGTACGCGGGCCTCTCACTGTTGTGTCCTCTCCCATTGCGGAGCACAGGCTCCGGACGCGCAGGCTCAGCAGCCATGGCTCACGGGCCCAGCCGCTCCGCGGCATGTGGGATCTTCCCGGACCGGGGCACAAACCCGTGTCCCCTGCATCGGCAGGCGGACTGTCAACCACTGCGCCACCAGGGAAGCCCTGCACTTCTTTTGTTAAACTTATTCTTAGGGGGGTTTTGGTGTGTGTGCTATTCTTTTTGATACTATCACAAATGTAATTGTTATTATTAATTTCATTTTGGGGTTGTTCATTGCAAGTATATAGAAGTAAAATTGGTTTTCTATATTGATCTTGTATATTGAAGTCTTGCTGAGCTTGTTTATTAGTTCTAATAGTTTTTTTTAGATTCTTTAGGATTTTCTATATACAAGATCATGTCATCTGCAAATATAGTTTTACTTCTTCCTAACATAGATGGCTTTTATTTCATTTTCTTTCCTAACTGCCCTGGGTAGAACCTCCAGTAGTACAATGTTGAATAGAAGTGGCAAGAGTGGACACCTTTGTTTTACTCCTGATCTTAGGAAAGGGAAAACATCCAATCTTTCACTATTAAGTATGATGTTAGCTGTGGGTTTTCACAGGTGCCCTTTATCAGGTTGAGGAAAGTCCCTTCTATTACTAGTTTGTTGAGTATATTTTTTTGTGGAAAGGTTTTGAATTTGTCAAATGCTTTTTCTGTATCTACTGAGATGATCATCTGGCTTTTGTCCTTTATTCTATTGATGTGATGTATTACATTAATTGATTTTCAGATATGAAGCCAACCTTGCATTCCTAGGTGAATCCCACTAGGTATATAATCCTTATTTATTGCTGAGTTTGATTTGCTAGTATTTTGTTGAGGATTTTTGCATCAATAGTCATAAAATAATTGATCTATAGCTTTCTTTTCTCATGATGTCTTTGTCTAATTTTGGTATTAGGATAATACTAGCCTCGTAGAATGAGTGGGAAATATTCCTTCCTCTTCTATTTTTGGAAAGAGTTTATGGAGAATTATTATTAATTCTTCTTTAAATGTTAGGTAGAATTCACCAGTGAAGCCATCTGGTCGTGGGCTTTTCTTTGTGGGAATGATTTTGATTACTACTACTACTACTACTCCTCTTTACTTGTTACAGAGCTATTAAGATTTTCTATTTCTTCAGTTTTGGTAGTTTGTGTCTTTCTAGAAATTTGTCCGTTTCATCTAAGTTACCTAATTTGCTGAGTACAGTTGTTCATAGTATTCACGTACACACACACACACACATAATTTCTATAAGATTGGTAGTCATGTACCCTCTTCCATTTCTCATTTCTCCTTTTAGTAATTTGAGTCTTCTCTTTCTTTTCTGGGTCAGTCTACCTAAAAAGTTTGTCAAATCTTATTGATCTTTTTGAAGAATTAACTTTCAGTTTTGTTGATTTTTCTCTATTGTGTTTCTGTTTCTCTAGTTAGTTAATTTCTGTGCTAATCTTTCTTCCTTCAGTTATCACCATCAGCTTTTAGCTTTCTAGTTTTGCATGTTCATACCCTTACTTCTGATTTATTAGTAAAGAGAGAAAATCTGCTTGGGGCTTCCTTATTAACAAGACAGGACTCTCCAATCAAGCAATTTTGTGGCAAAAAGATGTTATCACCAGTTCAGTTATGTGAGTTGGGAGGTAAAAAAGGGAATCCATAGATGATGTTTAAATCTCATTTTGGCCGGTGGTCCCTCCTCTTTCCCCTCTTATGAGGAACATGAGCACAAAGCAAACTTTATGTGCCATAGATCCTTCCAGCTCCAGCAAACCACACGGACCATTCAGGACCATTGGTCATAATGGACAATTACTGAAAAATAACCTCTGCCAGAAAACTCCCCTCCCTGTCACTGCAACCTGGATGTGAAGTGGGTACAGGATGCTCATCCTCTCTCCATCTTAAGTGTTGAAAGGAAATAAAATGCTGATAATCCAAGATAAAAAAAGAGAGGAAGAATCACATGCCATAGGCCTCCTTACTTCCCTTCTTCTAGATCTTTCTATGAAGAATTTTATTGACTTCTGTTTACTTATTTTTTAAGGAAGCTTTTTACTGACACATAATAACACGTTGCAAAAAATACACGAACCAAAAGTAGAAAACTTGATGAATTTTCACTAAGTGAACACATGCAACTAATTAGCATCGTGGTCAAGACCTAGACATTGCCAGAACCCTAGAAGGACTCTCTGTACCGCCCCCCAGTTACTACTCCCTGCCCAAGGGTGACCCATCCCGACTTCTATCACTGTAAATAGTCTGGCCCATTTTTGAAATTTACGTGAATGGAATCATATATTAAGTACTTTTACGTTTAACTTCTTTTGTCTAACATTATATTGGAGAGATTCATCCATATTTTTGCATGTAGTAGTAGTTTGTTTTTGGTGTTGAGTAGTATTCCATTTTATAAATGTACTCCCATATGTTGATCCATGCTACTCTTGATGGACGTTTGCGTTGTTCCTCATTTGGAGCTAATAGGAGTAGTGCTGCTATGAATATTCTTATACATGTTTCTTAGTCCACATATGTGTGCATGTCACTCAAGTATGTTTTTACTTCCATTGTATTCCTCCTTGTAAAAAGCACTTGAGGTGGCTTAGATAATTAAATGCATATTAGACTGGGTAATTAGCACTAAGTAAAGAAGGAAGCTAGAAACCACTATTATGCCAGGAAGCGGATGATGATTTATTGAAAACTAGAAGTGCCATACATTGTGCTAAACTCCTCGGTAGGCCTAAGAGGAGAAAGTAATTATCATGGCGTGCTAAATACAGGTCTGAACCTCCTGGTAGCCAATGCAGAGGCTTTTGGTAAGGATGAGGATGCTGTTCAAAGTATAAAGATAGGGGGACATTGAAGGGTCCTAACAACTACTTGATGGCAGAACCGAAGCTGTGAACGACCATCCCTTCAATCAACTTCCTCCAGGTCTAAGGCCCCAGTTTTCCGGCTCCACAAGGCTGAGGCCTGGGTACCCCAGGATCTCCCCTTGAGGCTCTTGGGCCCCAAGAGGATAATAAAGGAGGGCCCTAACAATTTTGACTGTCCAGCCTGAGCTCCACACTTCCCTGGGCAGGGAAGAGGGAAAGAATGGCCAGAAATAGATCTAGAGAATTCATAATTTTGGAGAAGGGAGCGTTCCAGTGGGTAGTTTTTTAGGCATGTCTCTTAAAACTATCCTTTCCCCCTCCCCCACCCCCCACTTCTTCCTGCCAGCCCTGAGAACTTTGCAGCACCCCTGAGTACCCATCTTTCCTGCCTTGAAAAGAAGGGTAGAGGAAGCAGAATTAGAATCAGTTAATGTGCTACTTGTTAGCAGCCCCAGTAAAAATAACACAGCCTCACATTTAAGTAGACTAGATGGCTCAAATGGAATTTGGGGATTATCTCTGGACTGAATTCGCTGGTCTTAAGTTATGATTAGAATGGGCTCCCTCTCTTTTCAATTAGTCTGGACAATGCAGAACTGGGTAGCTGTGAAAAAAAATGATTAATGGTTCTGCTTTATTTATCAGGTCCCAACTGCATGTAAGCATGAGCCAGAATATCAGGAACTGATTGCTGGATGGGGATACACACAGACACACACCCACATGAGCATTCTTAATTCAAAGGCTGTTGGCTCTATTTCTGAATTTAAGGGGAAAGAAATGTTCCATCTTCCAAAAACCCAAATCACCTCAAGTTACCTCTTTAAGGAGGTCACTGCACATTCCAGAATCCTGCTTCTCACTCACAGGCCAGCCCTTTTATAAAATTATAGACCTGCAGGAGCAACAGGAACCATCCCACAGGTGGTTTCCTTACCTCCAGGGATGACTGAATTGTAAAAAGAGTATCAGTCACTGGACTTTTCTGTCTTACTCCTCATGGCCCTTTGACACAATACAAAAGTTGCCAGCACTTCAAAGAGAACAAATGTTTGTAATCATTTGGAAAACATTTTTTTTGGCCATTTTGGGGGGGGGAAATCATCCCTTGTCTTAAGTTAAATGATTGTAATATTACCCCTGGGAAGATGTAAATTTAGTCTTTATTTAGTCATCTCCAAAACATGCCCGAGTTTTTTTAGCCAAGTTCATTTTTATTGCACTCTCTTCTACCATTCCACGAAAAAAAGTTGATGGGACTTCCCGGGCAGTCCAGTGGTTAAAACTCTGCACTTCCACTGCAGGGGGTGCGGGCTTGATCCCTGGTGGGGGAACTAAGATCCTACATGCCCGCCTGGCATGGCCGAAAAACAAACAGAAGAGCAAGAACCGAAAAAAAAAAGAAACAGAGTTGAGTTTGGCCCAACTAGTGATAAGACTTAACAATTCTACTCAAAAGATGCTAGAACTTTAGGACGGGGGAAAATGCTGGAGGGTTTTTTTTTTTTTTTCTTCTGGCTGTGCCCCGCGGCTTGTGGGATCATAGTTCCCTAACCAGGGATTGAACCCCCGGCCCCCCAGATGATGAGAGCACAGAGTCCTAACCACTGGACCACCAGAGAATTCCCTGGAGGTCTTTTAAAACGCTCAAAGCACAAAAGATAGGATATAGGGAATGGAGACCAGAGTTATGTTTGGTTTTTATTGTTCTTTAATCCTGAGCAACATTGAGCTTAAAAGCTTTTTATTTTAGTCCAAGATGGTAGAGTTCAGCCAAATCCCATAAAGTTGATGAATAAGACAGCTCCTGCGTGCCACCCCATAGTACACGTGTGTTTGAGTAAGATACCTCACTAAGTTCTTACAGTATTCTAGAAATCATTCAAACTCTAAAATTGCTTCCTATCTCCTATTTCATCGAAATGACAATATACAATACGCCAGCTAGCAAGTAAGAGGTAAGAAGAGTACCATGTAGTGAAATGTCTTCAGTTTATACCTCGTAATGGGTTTAGGAGAAAGCTTGTTGTCATCTAGATAACGGTCAGTTTGTAGTGATCAAAATTTCCGCCTCTCTATTAGGCACAAACGTTCTTTGGGCTTTTAACTTGGTTTCTACAGCTTTACTCAGCTGCCTGCTATTAAAATGTGTAGTTAGAATGTATACATTCCATAGATTACCATAGAAATAAACAAATTAATTCAGGGGCCCAGATTATACAGTATTTTTCATGGGTTCTACACTATATAAAAAATCTAGAAGCTGTTAGCCCTTCAGTTCTGCTTAGTCATGTATTTTGTGTTATTTTGAAATTGCCATATATCAAAGTCAATTTTCTTTATACAGCATATTTTGTCCTCAAGAAAATACTGAAGAAGCCCTGTTGTTATTGCTGATTAGTGAATCAATGGTGAGTAGAATGTGTTTTTACATTTTTCTCTCCCCTGTTCCTACGGTCCCTGTTTTGATGTGGTGACTCCATCAGGATGGTGATTCTTTTTCTTTGGAGAAGAGTACTTTCCAAAGGGAATACCTGGTGGGAAAAAAGCTGAGTGGCTTGAAAAAAAAAGGGACGTTTCTAATTCTTGGACTGGACAGATATGCCCCTGGGTCAGCCTGGAGCATGGAGCTTCTCTTCCCTTAGTTCATTCATTTATCCACCAAGTACTGACTGAACACTAACACAGTTGTATATGGGTGACTATAGCTAAAATGACCACCAAAGGAACCTTGAAAGGGGAAAGAAGCCCCCGAAAGGTAACCTTTTTATGAGCCTTCTCCATTTGCCTTGGTGGGAGGGAGAATTTGGGGGTGAAACACTTGTATGCTTGAACCTCCGGTTTCCATAGCAGCAGCCTGATGAAACTGCCTCGTCCTCCTGCCCGGGTCCTCTCCCCAAGCCCCCACCTGTTTCCCAGGCATTGCAGAGCCCAGGCCCAGAGAGCCCACTCCCGTTACCTGGCTCTGCTGTTGTGAGGGAGTTTTTGCCAGACCATCAGATTCCTTTGAAATGTTTTCTTGGTGTTTGGCCAGGATATCAAATGTAGGTCTACAACTTCATCGCTCATCCTTTACTGGGTTTCTACTCTGCATATCGCTAGACGTGACAGCCCGGCTTGAAACATTCTGGAGTAATCTGTGTTATAGTGGTTAATACCTTGGCAAGTAAATGGTGTCTGCTGAGCACCTGAGCAGAACAGCAAGCCCCTGGAACTTGGAGGGACCTAGAGGTCCTCACATCCACCTAGTTATTTAGACGAGGGACCGAAGGCCCGGAGCAGGCAGAATGGAGGCATCATGCAGTGGTCTGCTGCTTCTTCTGGCAGAGCATCCTGCCTTCTTCCATAACTCTCACCCCACCAGGCAGGCAGGAGGAGAAAAAGGAGTCGTAACTAAAGCAAGAGAAGGTGTTCCCTTCTTCCCCAAGCAGACAGTTTAAATGGAGGCGTGAAATACACTCGGGGAGAAAGACTTAGAAACGGAGCACAAGAGGAATGCCTGTGTGCTGAGTGAAAGAGGGGCAAAAGAGGCTGGGATTAGGCAGGCAGCCTAGCTTTCTTGCCTTAAGTTAAAGCTTTGGGTTTTCTTGTTCTGTGAAATGGCCCCGAGATGTTGATAAGAGCGAGACTGCTTGAGTCACCGCTTCTTTTTATTTGGAAGCTCTTTGACATCATTGGCCCTACTTCCTCTGAAGGAAACAGGTTGTTCTTGCGGCTTATCTTTCCTTGACTGTCAGCTGGTGACTTAGGACGGTGTCATTTACATCCTCTACTCTACCTTGGCACAGATGTGGAGGCACATGTGTGCACAGGCTGGCGCCCAGTGGCCTCCGATAACTGGTGTTCAGATGGGCAGGTCTCACCGCCATCAGTTCTGTGCGGGGGGAGGGGGGCTGCCCACACAGGCCTCATCGCTGGACTCTTCACAACCTGGCACTTAGCTTCCTTTGGGCAGACTTGGTTAGTAACGGTGTAAAAATTCTGAAAGCGTGGTGAGCATACACTTTCGATTTCTTGGACAATTCTGATTGAAAGGATTGAGTTCTGTTGTCAGATCATGTGTTCCAGATTGGAATTTGGGAAACATGGCGACATCTCTAGAATGCTTGCTCTAAGTGTTGTTGTCTTGGGAGTGATGTCCCCAACTCTCCTGCTCCCTCCTTGAAGTGGTAGAAACTGGTAATACTCAAAGTTCGGATCCCCTGGAGACAGTCAAATCTGACTCTGTCGTATTTAATTTCCAGGAAGTCTCTTCAGAGGATGGTGAAATCCAATGACAGTAAATATGAAGGACTAGGTTGCCAACCAAAATGATTATGTTCTCCCTGTAAATCATTCCATAGTTACGTAGGTAGAAGTCTAAATTAAGTTGCCTTTGGAAGTCTTTTTTCACGTCCCTTGACTCCTTGATTTTTTTCAGTTTTTAGACCGAAAATAGATGTGCTCAATTTCAGAACCAAAATGAGAATTGCCGGGCTTTTTTGGTGTCTGAGAAAATTGTATTCTTTACTGGTCCTAATTTTAACTTAGAAGCATAAATTTGTCCATAGTCCCTCCACCTACAAGAACTCATTTGGAATTGAACTGCATTCTTACCTCAAGTCAAATTAGTTTCCCCAGGAGAAAGGGGTTATCAGAACCATATTAGTACAACTACCACTGAGACAATGTTCTGGGACATTTGTTATTTGTGGACCTGTTTGAGGTTCTATATTGTACCTTTTTAATCAAAAAGCACTGAGAGACTTTTTCTTTTAAAAAGAAAAAAAAAAAAAGGCGCATTTGGGCATAACCTGAAAATCTCTCTTAAATGGTGTTTTGTCTTACTCCCTTCTCTCCCAGGCATTGATCTCAATATGGAACATTTAGAGGAAATAAATAAAATGAGACCACTTACAGCAGGCCGTATTTTCCCCAGAGCTTCTTTTTTTGGGTCGAAAGGCACTCCTAACAAGAAAAACTTAGAATGAAATCTTCAAAAGCGGGCTTGTTTCCATACGAGATGACTCACTTTGTAGGAAGTGGCCTGCCTTATATATTCTTATTTGTCTTTGACATTTAAGAGTAAGGAGTTTTAAAACAAGTAAAGTACTGACAGGAGGCTACAAGTCAGTGCCTTGGACTCACATGAAAGAAAGCATTCACCTCATTAGTGAGCAGGAGATTGTGTGCGTGGCCTTTCCAAGTGTCAAGCAGGAAGGTAGACATCAGCCCGCCTGGACCGGTGACCCTCGTCCTGCACGTGCCACTTCCATGGGGAGAACGGAGTGGGCCCTTTCTGTGCTCCTAGGGATGGACTTCTGTTCCTTAGCAAGGAAAAGAAGACAGGAAAAATGTAACTTTATTGATACTGAACTCCCTATTAGGGCGAAAAGGAAAATGAGCTGTTTAGAGTCTCTAGTACATGTGATATGTCTGGAGGAATCGGGGGAGAAATTTCAAAAGTAATGAAAACAAGTCACTGTGAAGAGCGGTTTCAGAACCAAAATGAGAATTGCCGGGCTTTTTTGGTGTCTGAGAAAATTGTATTCTTTACTGGTCCTAATTTTAACTTAGAAGCATAAATTTGTCCATAGTCCCTCCACCTACAAGAACTCATTTGGAATTGAACTGCATTCTTACCTCAAGTCAAATTAGTTTCCCCAGGAGAAAGGGGTTATCAGAACCATATTAGTACAACTACCACTGAGACAATGTTCTGGGACATTTGTTATTTGTGGACCTGTTTGAGGTTCTATATTGTACCTTTTTAATCAAAAAGCACTGAGAGACTTTTTCTTTTAAAAAGAAAAAAAAAAAAAGGCGCATTTGGGCATAACCTGAAAATCTCTCTTAAATGGTGTTTTGTCTTACTCCCTTCTCTCCCAGGCATTGATCTCAATATGGAACATTTAGAGGAAATAAATAAAATGAGACCACTTACAGCAGGCCGTATTTTCCCCAGAGCTTCTTTTTTTGGGTCGAAAGGCACTCCTAACAAGAAAAACTTAGAATGAAATCTTCAAAAGCGGGCTTGTTTCCATACGAGATGACTCACTTTGTAGGAAGTGGCCTGCCTTATATATTCTTATTTGTCTTTGACATTTAAGAGTAAGGAGTTTTAAAACAAGTAAAGTACTGACAGGAGGCTACAAGTCAGTGCCTTGGACTCACATGAAAGAAAGCATTCACCTCATTAGTGAGCAGGAGATTGTGTGCGTGGCCTTTCCAAGTGTCAAGCAGGAAGGTAGACATCAGCCCGCCTGGACCGGTGACCCTCGTCCTGCACGTGCCACTTCCATGGGGAGAACGGAGTGGGCCCTTTCTGTGCTCCTAGGGATGGACTTCTGTTCCTTAGCAAGGAAAAGAAGACAGGAAAAATGTAACTTTATTGATACTGAACTCCCTATTAGGGCGAAAAGGAAAATGAGCTGTTTAGAGTCTCTAGTACATGTGATATGTCTGGAGGAATCGGGGGAGAAATTTCAAAAGTAATGAAAACAAGTCACTGTGAAGAGCGGTTGCTTTCTCGATAGATGA